AAGAGAGCATTTTGACTTTGTGTCACTTGGCACATTTGAATTTGCTATGCATCTTTCTAAATCTAAGAGGAAAAATCTAAATATCTAGACAGGATTTTTTTTTTCCTCTTTAAAACATATATACTCCCTTAAAGCTTGATTTAATAAAATGGTGATGATTTTATTCTCTGAAATTAGCTCTTAAAATCAGCCAATTACATAATCCAGTTATTTTATCAGTGTTATTCACTGCTTGTAATAAAGAAATAATGTAAAGAAATTTTCAAAAAAAAAATTTGCAAGATTTGAAAATCTGTTCCAATGACTTTCGATTAAAAGAAAGATAAGATTATAATAAAATTTATGGCATGCATTTTAAAACTTATTGATGAATAAAAAAAGTCCAAACTAACTTTCAACTGGTTTCATAATCCAATTATTATTTTTTAAAACAAACTTAGATTGATGTTTTTTATAAAGTTGTTATTAACAAATTTCATACAAGTAAAATCACGCATGAACTATTACAAAGAAAAGAAAATACAACTAAACATGAAGTATAAGGAACAAGAATGCAACTAGCTAGAGAAAGTGCAAGTAACTTCCCTAGCATGAAAGTATCTAGAAGAAATAATTTTTACTTACAACAGATGTAGTTCCACTAGTAACTTGCAGATCTTGTAGTTGAATAGAACTTGGGCAGCGGGATACTAAATTTCCAATAATTCTTTACAGTAGCTCCATTCAGTATAGTAGTACATGTTACATCCTGTTAAATACAAAATTACATTTAAATAAGAAAATTCGTATATAATTTAATAAAAATTAAAATATCCATTAAAAATGCATTTAAGCATTCAAAAAAACATTTACGCATTTCTATTTAGAAGTAGCAAACAGAGTTTATGGTCAGAAAAGTTTTTTCACTGACTTTTCCAATCGAATTTGCCTACAAATCCAGGACTTATTTATTTATTTTTGAAAATATTCAATAAAATTTTTATTTGATAAAACTGCAAATTAAAATTATAATTGCAAATCCAAGTAAGCAAATTTTTTTTTTTCATTTTAAAAAAAGCAGAAGATTTTAATTTCGTCAATTATGATTAAGAATAATGAAGTATCAGAAATATAAATATAACTGAAAGAAAACACAAGACTAATGGAATTTACTATGCAACAGTTAAAAAAAATTATAAGTACAAATTTTTGCAAAAGAAATACTAAAAATATGTACATAATCTGTATATTATCAATGTTAAATCTTATTTAATCAATGTAAGAACATTCTCCAAAAACACAATAAGCAAATAAACCCCCATACATAAGCATCGATTAAAATATTAATTATGGGAAAGATAAGCATCAATGAGATTCAGAAACTTAATTGAGCATTACTAAATTAAAAAAAAAAAACATTTTTAACTCTAAATATTATATTATCCTGAAAAAAATTTAAGAAATGTGTGAAAAATCCATATTACCCAAATACTAAATTACCCATATCCCATCCAAATACTAAAAATATGTACATAATCTGTATAGTATTATCAATGTTAAATCTTATTTAATCAATGTAAGAACATTCTCCAAAACACAATAAACAAATAAACCCCCATACATAAGCATCGATTAAAATATTAATTATGGGAAAGATCAGCATCAATGAGATTCAGAAACTTAATTGAGCATTACTTAATTAAAAAAAAACATTTATATTATCCTGAAAAAAATTTAAGAAATGTGTGAAAAATCCATATTTATCCACAGGAGTTAATCCACAGAAGAGAAAGGAAAAATAAGTTTAAAATTGCAACATGTTAAGATTTTCTATTATAAAAATATCATTAATAAGATTGATAAATAGATAGAAAAATATAAATTATGATGGCAAAATTGTGAAAATTATAAAAAAAATTAAAAAAAACTACAGAAAATAACTTATTTAATAGAATAAAACTTACACAAATATAAGCCAATTAAAGATCTTCATTTAATTGAAGTTAAGCTAAATTATATTAAACTAAATAAAACCAAATTATAATATACTAAAGATTTATTATAAAAAACTGAAGATTTATTATAAAAGACTAAAATCACCAAATTAACTAATATAAAACAAAATTAGTAATTAAAAAAGCAATATATTTTATATCTAATTAAAAGCAAAAAATAAAATGATAAAATACAAGGAAACTTTATTAATCAAATTAAATAAAAACAACACTTAAAATTTACCAAATGGAAATGATAATTAAAAAAAACTAAATATAACATAAATATTACAATCCAGTACAAGGTAGGATGTAATAAAATCAACTGAATTTTTAAAAAAAAAACTTCACCTTAAAATTCATGAATAAATATTAATTTATTGAGAATGAATTTCATGATGAACAAAGAGAAAAACTAAAATTATAGTGGAATTTGAAATGTATCACTTGTAAAAAGAAAATGCTGCAATCTGCTTTATACAATAATTGTCTGCTTTTAGTAATAATTAATTTTACGCTTATAATAAATAAACAATCTTTTACTTTTATTTCTTTATAAAATTAAATGATTTTTAATGAAACCATAGGTGACTCCACATCACGCAAAACTTGCATATGATACTGCCCCTCTCAGAAATAGAAATTTATTTAACTAAAAAATATTGCTTCTTTAAAAGATATCAAATAAACATAGCAGCAAACAAAAAACGTTTTGTTCCTAATAATTTAAGTCTCATATGAAATTATAAAGCAATTTGTCATAAAATATCAAGGAGAACAAAAATTGAGAAACAAAAATGGATGAAAAGAAAAATCTAAGACATAGATACTCTAAGGGGAGTAATAGGCAGTTCTTTAACAACACTCCAGAAACATGTAACGACAAATAGAAGAATCTTATAGAATACACCTAATGGTAATGAAATCTAAATCACAAATTAGCAATTTTAAAAACTGTAAAAAATGCTGAATTAGAAAAGTAGTAAATTGTTAAGGAACATAATCAAGCTTTCTCCTTTTTTGATTTACGTGATTTCAAATAAGGCACAATTTTTTAAAGCACAGTTTTTTGTAGATTTGTTCAAAAAGTTATTGTTAAAAAGTTATCACTATTGATTTCTCCATAGCTTTTAAATCCAATATTTTTTATACGATATTATTTACAACAACCTAATCTCAAAACGAAACACGCATTCGAGTAACCCACTTTTTTGAGGAATCTGATGCGTGTGATTTCATCATTGATCTTTTTTTGGCGATTACTACTATGGATTTCGTGATTTTAAATTATGATTATCATTTACAAAAAGCATAGAAGCAAATATTTAGTGTCCCCCCACCCCCAAGAAAATGCGAGAATAACACCAATAATATTAGAATAAAAAATTATTACATGTTCAATAAATAAAAATTATATAGATATCTATTCTTTGTAAACACAGCGCTTTTGTTACATATGTTACTAATTTAAAATAACAAAAGCAGTGTGTTATACACTAATATCTTTTTTTAATAATAACAAACATATGTGTTACTAATTTAAAATGTTTGTAATTGTTAAAAGTATCTTGCAAAAAGATATTAGTGCTTGAGAGTTTTGTCACAGACAGCTCGAAAAAATTCCCAAGAAGCTTCACTGTAATAGATTTTTTCTGAAAGGACACGAACTTTAAACCCTAAATATAGACAGAATTTCAGCTAATGTAAATCTCTATTGAAAAATTTCCCTAGAATATGCACATGGTAGTTCATTTCTATTTAATTTAGAATCTCTTGCGGAACATTATCTTAATCTAAAATTCCTATAAAAGCAAAAATAATAACTTATTTCTAGCTTGAATTTGCATAAAAATATCAAGTAAGAAAATTATTTTACAAATAACATAGAACTAATAAATTTATTAAAATAGCCTTTAAGCAACTTACAAATAAATATACATACAAATTAAAACTTAATATTAAATAAAAGAAAACATTAGTGTCTAAATAATATTTTAAATATTGAAAAAATTAATCACTAAAAAACCTTTATTATCACAATATTTGTGTTGAGCAAAGAGTTAACTTCCCATAAAAGGTTGAATAATTAGAATTACTAATAAGATTTCTTGCAGAAAAGAAGTTATTTAAACTGAACTTTTCTTTGTTGTAGTAATATTACCTATAATAAATAATATCGATTACTAATTGTGTAATTCCACGAATAATAAGATATAGTTAATTTTCTCTTCGAATTTCATTCATGTACTTTACATAATTAAAGTTTGGTAAGTACAAAGCACAAAAATAATACACCATACATTATTTTCTGATCATACCTTTAGGCAATAAAACTGAATGGTTTAAGGGGTGACACCAAATATGTTAGTGCAGACAATTTTTTAACATCAGACATAAAAACGTACTATATTAGACTTGATACCTACTTAGAATCTCACTCTAGGTCATCAATAGTTGTGGAAGATTGGGAACCTTCAATGTTAATTTTGCTTTCTGCGTTTATTTCAACTCTTGAAAATAACACTCTTAATGGCTTTTGTTTCTTAATCTCCTTTTCTTGAAAATACGAATAATAAATAAGTTAGATAATATAATCATTAATACCTCATGGCTTTTTTTAGGTAACAAGAGGAACCATTCACAAAACTATTGAATTTTATAAATTTTTTTTTTTTGCATAAGCATGAAATTATAAACATTTTTCTTTGTTATTATTCAACAAAACAAAAAAAAAAATAATTCAAGCTAAAATAAAAAGTTTATAGGTAAAAGCAAATCAATGTGCACCATCACAATACATGTAACATGAATTACCCTAAGATCTAAAAAAAATCACAGACATAATAAAAAAGTACTATTTGCTCTAACCAACTGAATTTTTTAAAAAAAAAATACTTTACTCAGTGAACGTCCTAGGCGTTTTTAAAAGGGTGCACTTTAATAACTATAAATGTGCCCTCCTTACCCATTTTGTAAAAATAAGCCACCATCTCTTAAAAACACTGCCTTTTTATTATATTTTTTTCAGAGAAAAGTTTGTTTTCTTAACACCCTGTTTCAATGAAAAGTCCGATTTACATAATTATTAATAATTATTTAATTTCATTTCTTAATGTTAGAAAGATTTTTCTTACATTGTCTGGTTATACAGCTAAAATTCACATGACATTTGACCTCAATGATATTCTCAACTGTTATTTGAGAGGGGAAGTATATTGATAAATTTTAAAATGATTTTAAATTTTACCATTATTTTTTAAATCAATAGGTACCTTTTATTTTAAAATGGACTTTTAAATGTTTATTATCTCATAATTTATTGCTTAAAATACAAAAATAGCTTTCGAATTGTTTATCAATTAATCTTTTTCTATTTTGCTCACTTTTTTTTAAAAGAAAACTTATATATAGATTGTTTTTTAGCTTGCCTTTTCAAAAGCTTCAAATTTTTCTGTTAATTTAATAATGAGTGAAAATTACTTTAGGAAATATACACATACAATAACATGAGGGTAATTAAAAAATTGAGGATCAAATTCAGTTAATACATAATATAGCACATTTTGATAAATTTTAATGGTAGTACACTCTCTCTTCTGCAAGTACCCTACTCCTTTTTATTTCTTGGGATACTTTACCATACAATGCATAGTAGAATAAAAATATAATATATAGATACAGGTTTCCACAAAATGATCACGTTTGTTAAGGGATTCTGTATTGTAATCTGTGATGACAAACACAATCGCAAAGGTGCCAAATCAATTTAAAATTTTTACACTTTTTTACAAAAATCATGTAGAGGTTTACCTACGCGTAACAACTAGTTATGTCATTTTAGTTGGTATTCTTTTGTGAATTTTTTTTTTTTAGTTTATCGTTGCTCCCTGCCTCAAAGTTGTTAAGCAGTGACAATTATTTTTGAGCAGATCATTATATGGGAACATTTCCTTTACTAAGATAAATTTTACTAATGTACAAGCACATTATAAAGTACAAAGGCAAGAAAAATAATATTCAATCTGATCATATCCATGTATGAATTTTATACATACACCTTTATTTCATCGTCGATTTTCTTTTTGACAGATAAACATATTTTTTTAAATAATTTTAAAAAAGCATGCACATATATTTTAAAATAAATTTGATTTTTATTAAAATAAATACCTTTTGAAACGTTAAAATTTAACGTACATTTAATGGTGTTAAAAAAAAGAGCATTTTCTGTGCTTAAAATGAAAAACCAAATTTTTTGTTATCTTGGTGAAACTTTATAATCATAATTTTAAAATGTTACTAATAAAAGTTAGACAAAGAAAGGTTTCATTAGTAAGAATTTAGGTAAACAAACTTGTAACCAAAGAATAATAAAGCAAAAATGTCAGCAATTTAATTGATGGCTAATGGATATTTTTTTAAATAATTAATTCAATTATTCTTTATGAAAAGTTTCATTGCAAGTAGCAATTCATCAAAAAAAGTGGAAAAAATAAAAGTTAGAAACATAATGAAAATATCCTAGAGACTACAAAAATTAAATGAAAGGTGGCTAATGATAATTTTTTAATAATTTATTTAAGTTTTAATATTGTTAGTAACACGGTAGCAATGAGAGCCAATATCGATAGGACTCTGTTCCAATTTGCATAAAATGCGAGATGAAAATGAGCAGTATCTGTCTCTGCTTTAACTGTCCCTCACTCACGATTTCAAAGGCCAAATTTTGCTGCAGCTCATAACAATAGAAGCCTTCGACGAAGCACTGTCTTGAGAAACTAGTATTATTTAGCCTTTTGACACAGATGTCCTAAAGAAGTGCTCGTGCCTGACAAACCCTCATGGATGTTTAAGATGAGCAGGAATTGTGTAATTTGCTCTTCTAGCTATTTGCTTTCCTTGTTTTTAATTTTTTGCTTTGTTCTTAACTTCATGGAATTTTGGAATATATTTTTTGCGTTATAGGTTTTTTTATTTCAGTTAATTGTTAAATAAATTAGGGTAATTTTCCATTTTGCTGGAGCAGGCAATAAAGTCACTAATTGAAACTTGATGAGTGCAAGTAAATTCAACTGTTTTTTTTATTATTTATAAGTGACTTAAAAAAAACAAAAAGCAAATAATAGATAAATTAGCCAAAATTACTCGTGTTGGCGAAATGAAAAAGTACCTAGATTAGTTTAAAGTTATTTCTGTCCTTTGTTCCATATTCTTCCAAATCATTTGTTTAGTGTTTGTACAAATCTTGGCTATCATAACCTAGTTTACTTCTGTATTGAATGACAGGATTAAACTGGTCAGGTAGAAACATAATATGAGTTATTAAACATCAAAATGGATCCGGGACTTTATGAGCACCCTGTATATATAATTAATCAAGAAACTTTTTATAGAATTTGCTCTTTACAAATCAAAAGAAGCAATAAATTTTTTTCTCTTTTAGCAGTTATGATGATAATGTATTTTAATCAAATATATATATATATATATATATATATAAAAGCAAAATGTAAAGAAAACGTGAAAAAAATTATAGAACAATGAAAAAAGGGGAAAAGAAAAATAATAAAAATCCAGAAAATCAAGGATATAATCTTTTCATCAGCTCACTTGATTATATCTACAAAAAGGTTTATTGTTTTTCTTAATTTTCTTTGTTTTTTTCTTCTTTTCTTTTTGTCCTAGTTCTATTTATTTATTATGATATATATACATCTATAATCTCAAAGCTCTATTTGAAGTAACTCATAACTCTAGTCACTGCTGGAAGGTAAAATTGATATCTCCTGACAATTTGAGAGTACTTCAGTTTCAGTTTGCAGCAAATTTCAATAATTATGTATATATTTATATCTAAATAATTTTTTTCTTGATTACTTGAAAATGTCTATAATATCAATATGGGTTGAGATCCAATTGTTTGGATTATTTTTTTATTTAGCAGTCATTTCCTTACAAACATTTCTTTTAAATGGATTAGCGAAATTGAAGATTTTTGGGATACATCCGTTATAACTGTCAATTTTATAGAATTTTAGAGTGAGGTCAGAATCTTTAAAAATAGGAGGGTAATTATGTATCTATTGCTGTAATGATTTCAACGTATAATGTTTTTCAGAATTGCAGGTCTGTCACTCCACAGTGAAAACCTGTAAAAAATCACCTGAAATAAGAGGGAATTTACAGTTTTTCTTTACAAATTGGAAAAATACAAGGAATTTTGTTTCTTATTTCTGTCTTTTAAAAAATAGTGACCACTCAAAGCGTAATCTATGGGATATTAAAGGATGAGATTTCAGCTATACTGAACTATTTAATTTACTATAGCATTATTGTTTTAAATATGTTCAGCTGTACCTTTTTTCTCTCCGGTAATTACATTTAGTATAATTAGAACAATATAGCTCACACAAAAGCATGGTGTGTAATATATTGTGTATATTATATACAAGGGAATTTTTTTTTTCTCCAGATTTGAGTGGTCGCCCTGAATTATGATTACAGACATATTCAGGTTTGATTAGCAATAAAATTTTATGTGTTTAGATGATATCTTTAATAAAAGAAAAATAACTTACAAATTTTTACCAAGAATCATAATAATCTGCGATTTAACCCTTTGCCAACGGCGAGCACAGCATATGTGCCACTCAAAATACTTGCCCTAACAACGGCGTTGGCACAGCAGTTGTGCCGGCTGTTTCCTTCCCCTGAACTTGTTTGACCACCCATTAACCTGTCATTTCATCACACTCCTCTTTTAAAAGACCCTTTTGTTGGAAAAGAAGCTATGACTATATCAGAGTCTTCTTTGACTTGGCTGAAAGATATTTAGGTTTTTTTCTATTATTTGGCAAATTTTGAGTGCTTATAAGCTTTTCGTTGTCTTATGATAGCTGTGCTATTATTTCATAACCTATTTTCATTTGAGATCTATTTCATAAAATTATTTAATATTTTATTTATTATTATTTTTTTCATTTATTTTGTTTTATTTTAGATTCGAAGTCTTTTCTTTATATTATTATTCCCCATTTGTGATTGGAACTTTATGAAAATTTCAATTATTTTTCAGTGAAAAATTTTTATTTTCCATGCGAAATATTTTATACAAAATTTCATACAAAAACATTTTATTTTAGAGCTAAAAAATTTAAAAAATAATAAGTAATTTAGTTTTTGTAGTTGAAATGAGCTTCCTCTGAGATCCAAATAATTTAAAAATAAAAACATATTTAGCTTTTCATGCCTAAAAAAGAAGAAGAAAACACGAATTTCTTCTAAACTGAATAGCGCTTTTTCAGATCTAAAAGGAAAAAAACTGTTTTCAAAGAAATTATTATTTAAAAAAAAATTAAGAATTGTGTGGCCAAAACTGAATCTAACTCTCTTTTTCAAATACAGATTGTTCATGAACTTGTTTTAACATTAAGTTTAATGCAGTAATTCTCAACCACTGTGCCGCGGCACTTTTGTGTGCCAATAACTTCTTAAAATGTGCCTCCAAATATTGGAAATGATACAGTAAAAATTATAATACTTTTTTTTTATTACGAGTAAAGTTTAAATTAAAGAGTATATATATGTATATATATTATATATATATTTTTTATAATTTTTCCACGCTTTAACCGTGTGAACATCTTTGTCGGTGATTGTCTTGTCGCTGACAATCTTAAAATGAGTTAAAATAAGAAGGAAGTGTTTAAATTGTCTTTGACAATTTAAAAGAAATGTTGAAATAAGTAGGAAATTTAATAACTATTAAAATTATTAATTAACAAAGGAAGGCAAGCTAAATATTAATTTTCAAGCGGAAATGAAATCTAATCATTAAAGTAAGCCATGCAATAGATAGTTATAAAAACAAATTAACAAAGGATAACTAACAAAAAATTAAGCTCACAATTAATACTTAGCAAAAACACTAGTTAACAAGAAATCACAAAGAAATGAAAATTAATGTAAAAAAACTAACAGATAATAACTATAGAAAGCAAGCTAACAATTAATAACTAGCAAAAAAAATAACTGTTACTGACTAATAAAAAATTAGTCAAAAGAAATAATTAGTCTCTTAATAAACGTGCTTTTGTAGTACATATTATTTTATTTCACATTTAAAATTATTATCACAAACTATTTAACACAGTGTATTATAGGTAAGTAAACAACTTTTAAAAAATTTTTTTCATTTTGTGCCGTCAAATTTCGAAATCGTTAAAAGTAGGCCGCCGCAAAACAAAGGTTGAGAATCACTGGTTTAAAGATTTAAAATCCTATTATTATTACTATAAATATCCCTTTTTAGTATATACTACCGGGGGGAGACATGATCCAGGAAATTTTTCTGCCACTTATCCATTTTTAGGCAGAGAAATTACTCCGGAAAGAGCTATTCAAATTCATTACAAATAATAATATATAAACTCAAACATAAATATGATTATGAGTTTATTTTATTCGAAGAAATTGAGTAAATTGAATGAATTCCTAAGAAAAAAGAGTGAAAGAGCAAGTTCTTAATGGTGTATTGAAAAGGATGAGATATAGTTATAAATGACTAAAGATCAATGAATACTTAAAATACTTAAATTCTCCTTTTAAAAATTAACAATTCTAAAATTTTGTCAGGTATGATGCATTTTAAAATTATGCAGAATCCTTCATGTTTCAAAATAAAAAGGATAATGCACCAGACGAGACTTAGGAGGTCTGCAAAATTGAGTTCTATATAGATTTTTACTACACAAGACCACCTTAAATGACAAAGTGAATAGAGTTGCTGTTGTAGCAGATAAAAATCAATAAAAAGATAAAATCATTCAAACTGTGCCTATTCTCGGTAGTTGTCATGTGTTTGGAAGGCAGAGAAGCTGCATCTATAGGATTGTTTTTAATATGTGACCTTGAACAACAAGTTTACTCTCAATGAAATAATCTCCATTTCTCAAAATGCCACCCACATGATAAACTATTGAACTAGATACTGCCCCTTTCTATTCTCTGAGAAACATGTTTTTCTTTCTAAGTTTCCAGGAAATATTTCTATACATGCCTTCACAGCTTGCCACAATGTAATTTACTTCTCACAAAATAAATTGTTTCCCTTATTTAGAAAAAGACAGGATATCGAAACCATTTCAACCTTTCAGTATTGCCTCTTCCACAGGCAAAATGGCATTTCCTGCCTCTTTGTTTAGCTTCAGAAATATTGATAATATATTTCGGGATCTGTCTTTTTTAAAATTTTTAACAATAGCTGATTCCAGACACCTGAGGAAAGGACCTCAAAATTACCAAAGTGAATGCATGTTTAGCATTCAGTATGTCAATTGAGCTTGTATGGATGTGTCTGATAGATGTCTTGAAACTTTTTATTTTTCATGTATTAGTTGTAAAAGATTTCAGATCAACAGATACTTTCTTTTGAACTGAAATTTGCAGCTTTTAACAGAAAAAAAAATAAAACTTCTAATTATATTTTAAATAAATTATCAAATCTTAGAATAAACATTATCAAATCTTAGCCATGTAATATTGGATACAATGCAACATTTAGGGCTGTCGTGCCGTTGAGTTTAGTTTAGCAACATTTAGCATACAATACGTACCGTTATTGAAATTTTAAAGATATGAAATGCTCGAGAATTTTGTTTTGAATTTCTTTTATTTTTCAATATTATTTTATTATTTCTTAATGTGACATAAAATTTTTAGACAAATAGGAGCGTGAATTTTTGTTATGAAAGATGGCAAGTTCATTTTCTATTAGAGAAAAAATAAAGACAAAATTGATTAGAATTATGTACACAGGAACTGTCATATGCACGTAATCTCATAAGTATTAGCTACATAGCTTTGTTCTTGTCACCAGTATTTTTTATTGAAAAAAGGAAAAAAACTGAATATTTTAATAATTAAGTGCAAGAATGAAAAATAAATAATGTAGTTAAATGAATGATAAGTTCTACATACAAAATATTACTGCAGAAAAACCCGTTTATTAAAAGGGATTAAATAATTAGCATTAAACTTATTCAATTTTGTCTAAGAAACAATACTTCAAAATTAATTTTATGTAATAAAAATATTAATGATTTAAATATAATTTTTTATCTCTTATGATATTTGTTTTCAATTTTATAAGAGTGTAGTTTATGCGATCTTAAAGGAGATAACCAAGTAAAATAGTTAAACCAAATCTGAATAATAAAAATTTGCATTTGGTATCACTTTTTAAACCGATAAATGAAATAAACTTTCAAAATATAAAAAAAATATATGCCGTTAACTGTTTTATTCACATCTCATTTCAAACAGTTTTGAAAGCTTCTTTTTTTATCAACATCTAATAGGATGTTGATAACTTTAAGACAAGAATAAAACTTGAAACATTTATCGAAGTCATGTGTTTCTTTTGAAGCAGTCTATTTATAATCCTTCAAGAATCAAGAACATCAAAATACATGTTTTAAAAAAATAAAAATTTCAAATAAAATGTAAAATGTTTGCTTCTTTTTTAGAGAATTATCAATATACTTAGAAAGAAATTATCTATAAATGTTTCTTTTGTAGAAGTTTATTTATAATCCTTCACGAATTAAGATCACTAATATACACCCTGTTTTAAAATAATAAAAATTTTAAATTATTTATAAAAAAAACTTGCTTGTTTTTCAGAGAAATTGTTAATATATTTAGAAATTATGTCTACATTGGAAAAAAAAGTAAGCCAAAAATAATTACTGGTCTACAGCCCTTCAGGAAACATGAGGTACAAATTGCAACAAAATATTTCCTATTCATAAATGGTTAAAGTAGTTACTGACTAAGTGGGGGAATGAATTTCGGTAAGAGGAGAATCTTTGTTGCCGTAGCCAAAAGGTTAACCTATTAAGAAAGGAGAATAAGAAACACCACAAATAAAATAAAAAATTTCAAAGCACAGAGTCACATTCTGGAATGTTATAAGACAGATTTTGTGAATTTTAAAACTTTTTCTAAAACTGGAAATGATTAAAAAACTGTTAATCTGAGGCATTTCTTTTTAATCCTTTTCTCAAAATACAGTAAACATTACTAGGTTCATTTAAGTGAAGAAAAGTATGAAATAAATTTATTTTCAAATATTATAAAACATTTATAATATTTCTATAATTAAAAAATAATAAAATGTGCATTTTAGCAAAAAGCGATTATCAAATGGCGATTACCAAACATTTTTTTTACCCCTTTTTGTTGTATTTAGTCACCCTTTGGCTAGTTGCGACTACTCATTTTGCCTTATAGAAATATTAAACATTTTTAAACTGAATTAAATTAATTTCTTTAAAATAATTTTTGATCTTTTTTAGGGAGTTAATACAACATAGTAGCCATACTATCTCTCTATACAAATAAAGTAAAACGCATCACCTTCTAAAGGTAAGTTTTTATTTCCACTATTTTCTTATATATAGTATTTGCAATTAAGTTTCAAGAAATCAGTTAATTTGTTATTGATATGATATAATCAAATTTAATTCATTTATATAATCACTGAGAAAACAATAAATATCACTAAATTGCAAATGTCACCCAAATCAGAGCTATCACTTACAAATGTATTATGGATACTATTCCACTGTATTAAACATCATAAATAAAGCACAAATAAAGAGACTGGTATGATCTATAAACAAGAAGTGTCTAAACATGAAATAGTGTTTACACACTATTTTGTTGTTTACAATTCTAATGTCTTATTAACATTTAGAAAATTCTAATGTCTTATTTAACTGTAACGCGCCAATATTTTTTTTCTTAGAAATTGAAAACTCTGCTAAACAGTCGGACTTCTATTTAATGAACTTCCGTTTTACAAATTTCTCTATTTTGCGATTTTTTTTTCGAGGAATGCATTTTGGAAATTTCTTCGTAAAATAACTTCCAAACAGTGAATTGAATTTTCTATTTAACGAAATTTTTCTTTGAGAACCGCTTTCCCAAAATATTTCAAACTTGTTAATGCATTTTATGGGGGAAATGACCTTGAATTAATTTTAGAAGCCACATAATTTTTTACGAAACTGTAAAATTGAATTTTATCAGTAGCAATAAAACTTAGGAACACATGTAGCATGTTTAAAATTACTTTTATAATAAATGCAGCTATAATTTCATACATAAATGTAGCTTATTTTAGTTGAAAATGTATGTGGCGTGATAGTGTAACACTAGATAATGTTTTGCTCTATTCTTGCTTTCCATGCAGATTTCTCTTATAGTAAAGATTTATAAAATAAATAGTAGATACTAGTTTATAAGATAAAGGTGTATCAATAGTTATTTTGATTATGCCTAGTGTTTATGAATTTAAAACCTGTTTAGAGGTGTTTAAGTATTTCAGAAAGTGATTTTCTATTTAATGCATTTTCCATATAACGAACTTATTATTAACGAGTCCGTTAAATAGAGGTCCGACTGTATAACAAGTTTTTTTTTTTACATTTCACTTTGTACATGATGTGTTATAGGGCTCATGTTATTCTATGTGTACTTAAAAGTTTTTATCTGTTCATTTGCAGGCCCTTTAATCATCTGCCAGAGCCTCAACACTTAAAAAAAGAGAGTAGAATATATATATTGAGCCAGCTTCCCCTTTTTGCTCACCTTGAGATGATCCAACCATCCATCCAATTTACTCTAAAGAATCTTTGCCGTTTTCTTTTTTAGTAGTTTATTGTGCGTCTGTGAATAATTGATTGAAAATTTTAATAGTATACGATTGTTGATAAAGTTGAACTCTGATTATCCAAGAAGATGTGGAAACTCACATTGAGCATCTTCAAATAATGCAAGCATTTATAAAATTATAATTCTTTTTAATTTTCATTTATATGTTGATTTAGTTAAGGAATCCATTAGTTACTCTTTACTTTTAATACTATTTTATCAGAGCATACATTTTATTTCAGTTTAAATACTAGAGATTTAAATTGTTTCACTCAAAACAAGTACAAAAACTTATTTATTAATTATTATGAATGAATATTTATTAATTAAATTTAATTTGTAATAATTGATGAAATATTGTTAATTTTTTAAAACATTGAACTATTTTCTTTTCTTTTTTTTTTTTAAATTCTGCTTTAATGGAGTGAATAGTTTAAAATAAGTTATTGACACTATAACATGTTTCTGTCATGATTAAATACTGTATTATTGTGGGCTGAGTTTTCCCGTCGAGACTAGGATTGAGTTTTTGGATAATTGTTGTTCCACTGTTTTTTCAAAATACTGGTTTGTGCAGTGCCTGTTATTGTCTGTACTAAAGTGTGAACTGTTTTTGTAAACATTTTAAAAGTTGTTTAGTAACACTCCAATATATTGGTTGTATTGTACAAAGCAGTTTTTCTACGTGAAATAGTCTGTGATTCATTTTTTTCTTTTTCTTTTGGTGGTGGCTTTTAAAAGAAATGCTTTTAGCAAAATAAAATTAAGATTATCTTAGATATGTCAGCAAAGTGTTTAAAAAAATTTCACACTTGAAACAATTCAAAAGTGTAGTTTGCAAAATCACTTCTGTCTAGTTATTTGTCTTTCTTTTCTCTAATTGGATGCTAATCGATTTGAAAGGTCAACAATATTAAATTCTGGAAGTAAAAAAAATCTATGCAAATATAATTTTGTTACTTATAATGGTCTAAGTGCCAAATGGCTAAGTTTCATAAAAAGATCTTAATAAAAACATATAATAGAATATTTTGACTCTTGGATTGCCATTTTTGATTGTTATAAGTAGTTTTCAACCTTTTTTTCTTTTTTATTGTTCATGTAGACATCTCATTTTGTTATAACTCTTACCGTGCTAGACATTACATATTGAATGCTAGACTTTTTAAAAATATTCGAAAAACATACGATCGTATCATTCACGATTTTTAAAATCTTATTTCTAAGCTTGTTAATATTTTTTAAATTTTAATGAACAAAAGCCTTTGTTAAGAAGAAATAATATGTTTTTTCTATCCTATTTGACTTTATCTATAATTATAAAACTTTCTTTTTACTATGCATTCATCAAAAACTTTACTTTATATTCTGTAAAAGTTAACTTTATATCTATGCCTGCTAATGTCATAATCTTTTCCAAAAACTTATTTAAATGTCTTCTATTTAATATAAGTTATTGTGTAGTAGTGGAAGGAAATTATATTCAAATATGTTTTCTATCTGCAGGCAATTTGTGTGTATATATTTNATATATATATATTAGAGAAATATTAGATATGCTATACTAGTATAATTATTTGACAATATTGTTAGAATATAATATTTCATATATTGTTATTGGCCAAAATATAAGTAACAATTATTGTTTAAACAACATGAATTCAAACTAAGTCTACAAAAATGAATTGTGATTTATAAGGATTTTAATTGTGTGCATATTTATTGAATCTGAGACTTAAGTTTTATCAAGTAATTTTTATAAGTATATTTATTTAAAATCACTGAAATCAAATGATAAAAAAGAAGTCTTAATAAATGTAATTTACTGCTGCTATTTCCTTCTAAATGTCAATTTTTTCTTTACGCTTGCATTTTTATTATTGTCAAGCTTCCCTTATTGAAAAGCATGTGAATGTAACATTGATGAATTTACTTGAAAAGGCCATTTAATCCACCAGAACTTCCACTTTATGTGTGATCTATTCAGTAGTGGCACAACTTTTTTTAGTATGAATTTACATTTTAAGTAACTATTAAGCAAATATTTAGTCACCTAGTGCCTTTTAGGTGGTTAATTCAAGTGCATAATTAATTGAATCTCATTGCAGAGCTCATTTATCTCAGTAACTTTTCCTCTTTGTAGAACAAAAGAATAATAATGTATGATATTTTATAACATATTGAAAATCTATGTTTTTCGTATGTTTTAAACATGTTTGAAATTGAATGAACTAACGAGATATAAATGAAAAACATGTATTAATAAATTATAAAATAGACGCATTTAAAACAAATAAATAACGCAAAAAAAACAATGTTATATAATTAAAGAATATAACAAACAGATTTGAAACAATGAAGTAACATAGATAAAATTATTAAAAACAAAAATAATCGATTGTAAATAGAAGTGTAGAAGGAAAAATCTGTGGAACTACTGCTCAAAAGCTACACTGTGCTGTAGTAAAAGCCTGTATCTTATAACTCCTAAATTGACTTTTGTTTTCAATTCAGATTTTTTTCTTCTTTTAATATATTATGTTCTTTGAATTATCTGTTCTTTATGCGTTATACTAAATTATTTTTTTTTACCAAGGTGCATTCTTTCCTATATAGCTTTACCTTACGATAATTTCGATTTCTAATTTAATAATAAAGACGTATTCTTTTTTAAAAAAATTAATCGCCTTTTGATTTGTTCCATTTTTTTTATTATTCAGAATTTATTTGGTTTTATCCCTTATGTGTACTCTAAAGGGTCATTCCAATATTGCGAAAGCATAATGTGAGGTTCGAAATTTTTAATTTTTAACAAAAGCAAAATTTTTCATTTGCTTTTCCTAAAAATTTTGAAAATAAAGGGACGTCGTGCATTGCTCCTCCCTTATCTTCTTCTTTTCTTTTAAGTACTTATGTGAAGTGCATGTATCTAATGATCATCATTTAAATTTTATTATGACCATTAGATATTAATTTTAGTTCTTATTTAAACATTAGAAATAATTCATGACAAACCACAAAATTTAACTTTAAAAAAAAAACATTTGACAAAACACTAAACAAAATTTAAACATGATGCCTGGTGGCTGAGTGGTAACGCTTTGCGCTCCCGTGCCACAGGTCCTGGGCTCAATCCTTGGGCCGGGGAAGATTGACTCAGCCTTTCATCCCTTCAGTGGGTCGATAAGTGAGTACCAAGCATGCTTGAGAACTAAACACTGGGGGTTCCGCTTTCGGTTGACCACCTAACCGGAACGCCTGCTCCTGCACCCCAGATCCCAAGATTAAGAAAACTGCGATGGGTGCAATAGGCCTTGGCCCTCTATGGGTTGTCGCGCCACTGAGTATAGTTTAGTTATTTAAACATAAGAAATAATTCATGACAAACCACTAAATTTCATGTGTCAATCATAATTTTCTTACATTTGTTGATCTACTTGCTGCAATTATTATTAGTATGTGCAGAAGAATATAGGGATTTGAATTTTTAACTTCTTCGCTGGGGCAGAAATTACTATCTGAGATGAGTATTTGTAAGGTCAATATTCACATTCAATTTAACCAGCTTCTCCACTTTTAATACAAAAAATATTGTTAAAGAGAATTAATTTGTGCCTACTAAAAATGCTCAGATTGCCTTCCTCTCATCTTAACAAATAGCTTTTATATTTTATTCAGGTTGATAAATAGGTTAGGATTGAAAATCCTAGAATTGTCAGGCAATTTGATTTTAAGGGAAAAAATCCGAGAATAATATAGTTTTAGGCCAAAACCTGAAAAATAAGTAATTTCTTAATTTCCAGTAACAATAAATAGCCAATGTAGCTTAACATAAATAAGTTTAACATCTGTTTTTATTATTTCTCTTGAAACGTTGCAGCGTAGGTCAATTTCTTTTTGCATTAATTGACTAGATATTAACTGAAGGAAACTCATTTGTCCTAAAATCTGTTGTAAATTTCTTTCTAAATATGACATTTCCAGTTCAATAAAACTATGTTTTTTTAAGTTAAACTTTTTTATAAGTTAATTTTGGATCTTAATTGCTAGTAAGATCTATGATTAGTGTCTACTTTACTGATGCGAATTAGTTGTTAAACTATGTTACATTAAATTTCAGATTTTTGTGAAATTAAATATCTCTTCTAAACTCTACATGTTAAATAAATTATTTGCTGAAATAATTTTTTTTTCCTAAATGTAATATTTGACAAATTTTATATCACAAAGTAAATTTGATTGCTTATCGAATGAAAATAATTTCTGATGATTTATTGTGCTGTGTAGCGTAAAAATGTAATCTGGAATTTGGTGAAATCCAAGAATTTTATTTCCTAAATTTAGGAGAAACTCTGAACCTATTTCATTCCTATTATTTGTTAATTATGAGGTATACGAACTTTTACAGATCAAATTTTCTAAAGATACAAGTCCCGTGGCAGAATCACGACAACATTGTCACAGAACTTTGCAGAGTAATTGCAAGAAGATTTTTCTTTTGGAAAGAAAAAAATTCTGGTTTGCTTTTCTGTAGAAATTTACACGTAAAATTTTAATTTCTCATTTAAATAATCACTTTTTGAAGCCCTCAATTTATGCCGGTGTCGTAATTCAATTTTTAAAATATTCTTGGCAGTTATTGACATTGATTTTCACATGGCTTTTAGACATTCCGTGATGTGGAATTTACCTTTTAAGGCACTTTTTAACTCATTTACTTTTTAAGGCAATGATTCTATTGATTTTTTTTAGCAGTTATTGCTTTTGATTTCCACATAGTTTTAAAAACTCAATGTTTTTTATAAGATAGTATTTGTTACAACAATCAAATCTTGAGACGAAACATGCATTTGGTAACCCTTTTCTGAAGAGTCCAATTCGCGT